ACTTTTCTTGATTGTATTCATACAAACATGGATTATTACATTTCTGGAAGTAAGCCAGTATCTCTTTTAGATTTGGTGGTATAATACAATACATGTTGTATTTTTGTTAGTATAACTTCGCAAACAGTAAACTCTGGGCCACGAAATCCTTTTCTTTCCTTCTCCTAGTCAAGTTATAGCTCATATAAACACAGCTCAACTCAAGATTTTGGACTGAAATGTTGAATAAAATCAAAAGTGTAGGTTGTCATATATTTTTACCCTATCCACTTGTTTTACTTAGAAGGAAATCTAATCTTAGAATACTAAAAAGACATATGCATGTTCTTTCAGTATCTATTTCTATAAATCTTGCACAAGTTACATAACGTTTAGGATTTTGTCATTGTCCTCTATCTAGTGGGGAGCATAATGGTGGAATGTGACTGCTTTAGCGTTGGTATTGGAAAGGGCCTAGAAGTCCCATGTGACTTTTCTTGAGCTTCATTTCCACAGACTATTCCATCGATGCTCTGTAATGATTTCTCATTATTGTATATTCCTGTTTGCTACTATAGTCCCATAGCATCTGTGTGCACTCAGGTTTGCTAACAATCCCAATGCCAATATTCTACAGTTCCACACTTCACATTCTCCTAAATAAATGTATTAAATTAACATTCTCTTTTTTATATAGGGAAGAAAAGATTGAGTCATTAGCCTGTAACTCTCAGTTGGTTTCAAGTGTTTTCCTAACAGTTTCAATGAAAACAAAGTATTACAATCCAAATGTACTGTGATATTTTCATCAATGATATGACCTCTGGAATAGGTCAGACCATCTGTAATTAAATCCTTATGTATTCCATCCTAAGTTCCAGCCCATATACTACCCTCCTCAAATGAGGGAACTAGTTTTGTAGTAGGAATTAAATAAGAGTACATGTATAAAACAATGGCCAGCATTTTTATTGTTGTTGCTGCTGTTCCTGGGGCTTGAATTCAGTGCTTGGGTACTATCTGTGAGAGCTTCTTTTGCTCAAGTCTAGTGTTCTACCACTTGAGCCACAACACCACTTCCAGCTTTTTTTGAGTAGATTACTGGAGATAAGAGTCTTACAAACTTTTCTTCCCTGGCTGGCTTCAAACTGAGATCTTCAAATCTCAGCCTCCTGAGCAGCTAGGATTACAGGCATGAGCCACCATTGCCAAGCAATTGGTATGTATTTAAATAACACACATACTCTTTATAAACAATTAAGACAAATTGATAAATAATTGTCAAATCCAAATATGATTATAAAATTTTATTACTTTTTATGTAATTTTAATCTTATAACAACTTTTGTCCCATAAAATATCCTATAAATAAAAGGGATGGAAATGATTATTTGAGCTTGTCTTATGAGCTTGATGATCAAGCTGGTTAGATTCTCCTTCACCTACCTAGTACTTGACATTGTTTTAGAAACTTAAGGACTATACAGGTGGACCCGTTGCAACAATGAGAAGTACAAGTTGTTATGTCAAAAACGAACTTTACAACTTTGGTGGGGGGGGCCGGGAGGATTGGGAGGGGGGGATGGGAAGGGATGGGAAGGGGAAACAAAGGAGGAGGCTACAATGCTTGATAAGAAATGTACTCATTATCTTGCCCATGTAATTGTAACCCCTCTGTACAGTATTTTCACAATAAAAAATAAATAAAAATTTTAAAAAAAAGAAACTTAAGGGCTAAATTTAAAAATTTGGCTCCGGGATCAAAATCTATAGAAATAACCTACTATAATTTTGAAATAAACCCAAAATAAAAGAAAAAACTTCACTGGATGTAAAAAATTATGAAAACATATTACAAAGACTTCAAAACATTGTTTTTCCAATAATTATAGAGTCTGATCTGAACAAGAAAACAGTGAATCAATTGCTGACATTGTGTGACCAGAGCAAGTATCTTTTTTAAACCATAAAGACTCTGTCATTTCCCACAACTACATAACATCAAGACAGTACAAGGGAAACTTAGAGTCAACATTTACTGAAGCCTAAAAAGAAATGTATTTTGACAGAATTGCACTAATCTAATGGATTAAATTGGCCCATTAAAAGACTCAGCTAAAAAGCCAATTTAAGGACTCAGACCTAAAAGCCAATTCTTTTTTTGTTTGTTGGTTTCTTTGTTTGTTCGTTTTTTATTGTGAAAATACCGTACAGAGGGTTATGAGTACATTTCTTTTCAAGCATTGTTGCCTCCTCCTTTGTTTCTCCTTACCATCCCTTCCCAACTCCCCCACCCCAGCCAAAGTTGTAAAGTTCGTTTTTCAACATGACATCTTGTACATCTCATTGTTGCAGCCGGTCCACCTATATCCCTATTTAAACAATTTGTTTGTTCTCTTTCCTTCCCCTCCCCAAGTTATACCAACATCAAATACAGTTGAAAACAGGGATTATAAAGCCAATTCTTTTTGCTAAACTTAAATAGTGAAGCCAGGGCAAAGGGAAAAATTGCCAGCAAAAATATTTTCAACTAATAGAATGAAAGCAGCCTTAATCTTCTTTAAGTGATCTGTAAAGCATCTAGACCAATAAATGTATTTTTATTCAAAGTTCAGATATTTGTAACAGTTATAACCAATAAAAAGCATTCTTGTGCCCAGAGAACACAGGAAATGGAGGGTCTATTTAAAGTGCATTCTAATTTTCCAACTCACGTATTACCATAATCTTAGAATCTGAATAGTCTGCTGCCACATTACTCAAAAGAAAATATAAACAAACAAAGACAAAAAGGAAATTTTCTTGGGAACAAGTCAATTTTAGGAACTAAGTAAGCATTTAGAAGATTGAAAGAATATAGGTCAACTGAAAGGAACTTAATGAATTGTAACTATTAAGCGCCTCCTACTACAAACCATTTTTCTTCAAAAAAAAACTTATCATTTTAGTAAAGCACTCAAACATTGCTTAAGTTGAAGATTGTCTCTTTCCATTTGGTCACTACCTTTTCCAAAACCCTAAAAAGAAGCACTGAATTAATAACATTAAGTCTCTATCTCAATTATCAGGGAACTTTTTCTATATCTTGGAAAGAGCTCTTTATTAAAGTTCTATTTCCAAAATAGGATTGCATTCAGTAGATCAAATGCAAATCAGTATCCATGTAACAGGAAAATCACAAATGCAAACTAAAATGAAATTATAGCTTAAAGTCAATTATACTCTTAGTTCTTGCAAAACTCAAGCTTTCTCTTTAATTAAAGGGCATATTTATTTAGAGAAGCAAATGAGAACCAGAGCCCAGGATTTCAGAATGAAATAAGCACTGACTAAATTCAAATCTTGGAACAGAATGATTCAATCAATAGTCAACACTGCCAGCAAACCTGTGTGAAAGTGGTCAATTTAAGGTAGTAAAGTAGTACTGGATTTTAAAGTGCATAAATACTTACTAGGGATTATATTCTAGTTTACAGATTATCTTTTTAATCTAAGAAATAAAATTCAAAAGCATTTCTTAAGATTATATCCATAGTACATATGTATCCTGAAAGATGTAGAAACACACTTAATTAATTTTAATTTTTTGCATATTTATCATCTTTATGTCCGTTTATGAGTATATACATTTTATAGATATGAGGAAATGAAATCTTGGACAACTAATTGACACTAATATGGATAAAATTAATATAAATATTTAATTGTTATAATCTAGCATTTCTTTATAGACAAAAGCTCCACAGCCATAAATCAGAGGCAAAATGGAAACCAGGCCCATTATGTGCATCACCAAACCAGAATTTTGGAAGAGATAGAGATGCTATCAGTCTTGCTACATTTTAGATAACTAAAGTGCGTAGAAGATGGAGAAGGAGAATGATGGCAAAGATGCACAGATAACTTTGACATCAGCTTTCATCAGATAGTAGCTTACATATTATGGAAGGCCCTGGGCATCGCTAAGAAATGTAATCAGTATAGATGCTTATTCGTGACTCTAACAACTTAACATTTTAGTTTCTGTATGAAATCATTGTGTATTGCCTTGTTATAGCCAATCAGAAGACAAGGACATTTAATACCATGAATAACAGCTAACATTTATTGAGTGTTCAATATAACCAGCCACTAATCATTGTGACATAATTTATCATATAGTAATAATGTATTATATTTTATATATATTTAAATAAAGTTCAAATATAATCGTGTGAACAGCTCTGTTTTTGTTTTGTTTTGTTGTTTTTTGTTTTTTTTTAATAAAGGAGGAAGTTCTTTTGAACATGGTAATCATGCCCTCTACAGGTGGCTAAAAGTTTCATTACCACCCCTTCTTGTGAAATAATGCTTCAAGAGCAGAGGGTGATGTGGATTGATCTCTGCAAGACTTTTATGGCTCCAGTTTGCTAATCCTAAGGTCATCCTTCCACCAGCAAGATAAGCGAAAACTCCTAGAATTGAGCTCTAAGTCTGGTAAAGAAATTATTTTTGGTTAAAATAGGATACACAGAGGGGGAAATTTATTAAAGTGTCTCAGGAGTACTATAAGGTAAGGGTGGGCTGGGAAAGAGTCCATCTTCTAGAGAGAGTTGTATCTGAGATGGGATATTTGTATCAATAACAAGAAATAAGCACCCCTCTTAAGAATGCTGCGTTTGGCATTAGGAGAGAGCTGAAAGACCCAAAACAAAATGGCAGTTACCTGAATGAAACAGTTGTACAGTCTGATTTATTTTGCAGAGCAAAGTCAGAGTTCGAATGGAATGACTCATCTATGGAGGCTGTTCGGAGGATTTAACCAGAAGAACACCTAACCATTAGTCAAATGTTTGTATTTGCATTCCCACAGTTTCACACGAAAATGGCAGATTCAAACAACAGTCTGGTTGTTTTATTTTTTCTTATGAAAAAAGTGATTGTAAGACTTTACCTATGATCCAGGAGTCGGCAGAAGATCAAATTTCACAGCACTATTTAAGACCATCCACAAGGAAACACTTAGAGTCATCATAGAAAACATGGCCTTTCCTTTGTCAACTATTCTCCATATGATCCTCATGTCAACAGAATTCTTCCTAGGGATTACAGTAAATGGATATCTTATCATCATGAACTGTACTGACCTGTTTAAAAGCAGAAAGCTCAAACCATTGGAAATCCTTTTACTCTGCATAGGGATATCTAGATTTGGCCTGCAGCTGATGCTGATGGTACAAATATTTTACTCTGTGTTCCTTCCATTTGCTTATGATGAAACTATCTTTACTGAAAACATGATGTTCTTTTGGATGTTGTTCAGCACTATCAGTCTCTGGTTTGCTGCTTGGCTTGCTCTATTTTACTGCTTCAAAATTTCTGGTTTCACTCACTCTTCTTTCCTTTGGCTGAAATTCAGAATTTCCAAGTTCATACTTTGGTTACTTTGGGGCAGCTTGCTAGCCTCTTTGGGTACTGCAGCAACAAGTATGATGGTAGAGTTACCGAAAACTGAGTATAATGATGTTTTCAGAAACACCACACTACAAAGGACTACAGCCAACACAGAGAAAAATAATGACTTACTTTTCGTAAACTTGATGCTATTTCTTCCTCTCTCCGTATTTGTGGTGTGTACCTCTATGCTGTTCATCTCGCTTTACAAACACACCCATCAGATGCAAAGTGGACCTCATGGATTTTCAAATGTCAAGACTGAAGCCCATATAAAGGCATTAAGAACAATAATAACATTCTTTTGCTTCTTTATGTCTTATTTTGCGGCCTTCATGGCAAATATGACATTTAGAATTCCCTACAGAAGTAACCAGTTCTTTCTGATAAAGGAAATAATGGCAGCCTTTCCTGCTGGTCATTCATTGATACTCATCATGAGTAATCCTAAGCTCCGAGAACCATTCAGGAGAATTCTCTGTTTCAAAAAGAATCAATAAAGAAAAGGACCACCATGGAGTATTTGTTTCTTTGATACAAATCTAATGGGCTGATTTTTGTTTTGTGTGCTCAGTACCCTTTTCTGCCAATTTTCTGCCCACACTTTACCCCAAGACATATAAGACATTAATTCTGATATTAGGTCAATAGAGTATCTCTCTTTCCAGAGCTTGTGTATGAAAAATATTGTGATGTCAGCCCATCTTATTAATTTCTACTTGTTCTGAAGTTGCAAATTGTATTTTACAAATAAAACAAAAGTTCTAAGACTTTCTTTGATTAATGTTTTTACTGTTTACTGTCTGTTTTCCCAGGTCATTGGAAATCTTTAAGTTGAGATTGGGAAAGCGTCTTGGTTTATTTTAAGTCTTGAAACAATAGAATTATTTGGTTGTTTAAGAGCAGTGAGTAGAATCAAGCAGATTCATTAGTAAAATAGAAATCAGATGTTGAAAGTATATACTGTAGTGATGTTTTGGCTGTCCTGGTAAGGTGTTAGTTTGGTTGACTTCGGGTGGGTAGAAAATAATGTGTAAATGGAACTACTATGCAAATGCACACATAAATAGGCCAGAGTCCCAAATTTGGGAACAAATTTGCTTGCCATTTTGCCTAGGTTCTTAGGGAAGATTGCTGGTGGTGGCATTGTACTGGTATCCAATGTGGCACAGTACTATGTGTTGGGGATACTTGACTTGGTAAGTAAACTTAAAACAAGGAAAGCTCTTTTTTCCAATTATCATTCATGTTCAGTCAAGACAATATACTTTCACCAGTGTGACTTGAACATAGGTGACTGAAGGAGTAGTAAATCTGTGAGTCCTTCATAATTGAGATTTAAGCATCAGTAACACTGAAGCTAGGCTCAGGTATCGTGAGGTTGAGTTTTGACTGTTAAATGTGTCTTGACTTGTACCCAAAGTGCATTTTAACCAAATTCTCATTACCATTTGTGAGAGTAATTATTCTTCCTTAGAATAGTCATAATTTAAAAATGAAATGAACCCCAAGATAGGGACATGAGGTTTTTTCTTTATCACTATTGTTTTTAATGTACTATGTGTTTTTTTTTTTTGCTTTTTTGTATGTTCTTCCCCCATGGTATAGCTCCTGTTATCACTATATTTGATTCTGGTGCCCTATATCCTGTATATACATTTTTCTAATTTGGGGAGGGGAAGGGAAATAACAAAATGCTGAAACAAGGATACAGGTTGACCTATTGTAACAATGATGCGTACAAAACACTATGTTGAAAATGAGCTTTTACTACTTCAGCAGGTGGGAGGGAGGGACAGAAGTTGGGGAGGTGAGGAGGGAAAGGATAGTAGGGGAAAATCAAAGGAATGGGTAACAATGCTCCAAAGGAAATGTACTCATTACCTTACTCATGTAACTTAAAGCCTCTGTACAATATCTGTACAATAAAAATATAAAGAATCTACTATATAATTTGTTGAGTTTCTCCTAAAATGATCCTGAGAACTTAATTTGGATACCCTGGATATTGAAATAATCAGAAGTGGGTTTTTTTTCTCTCTCTTTCTTTTCCTTATCGTACAGGAGTCTTCCAAACTTATATTCCCACTGCATCTCTTAGTCTTTTCCTTAAAAAAAGAGAATGGAAACATCACACATGTCCTTCAACTTACTTTCCCAACTGATCAGTCAATCATACAACTGAGGTGAAGAACCACCATCCCGAGTCAATCACATTTGAGCTCAGGTGACTTCTTAGCTGGTTTGCTGTGTATGCTGGTCCTGGTGGTAAAGTTGTGCTCAGACTTGCTCTGCATGAAGAGGAAATGATAAGAAGAAGAAAGTTCATCTAGGCAGCCCACCACAATGTGTCCAACAGAGGACCATGACCCCAAGGACTGTTCTAGGAATGTTAGGAGGATTTATTAACCCAATGCTTTTGGGTTGTAAGTTGTTACCTAATAAAATCCATTGTATAGCCCACATTGTGTTCACAAATGGGTTACAATGCCATTGCACAACGACTTTAGATATAAATGTTGATGTGTCTGTTTTTCACTACCCTCACTCAGAGTTCCTTGTCTCTGAAGAGATTTGCATGATGTACCATCTCATCTCCTTTGACTAGATCTTTACTTATCTGTAGTTCATATTATTTTATGGAGCTGATATTTTCTAAATAAACCATGTATATTAAACTTCAGGTCTTTCCTGTGGTGTGTGTTTTTGGCAGTTTGAGCATTTCTTTCCTGTACTACAGAAGACAAATGAAGTAGAAGGTATAGTGATGAGCTACACGATGATTTCAGTTCATATTACTTCTTTTCCCAATAATAAATTGTCTCAGTCTGATATTCTTTTCTTGGGCATAATTTAGGGTTTATTGTACTTCCTTCTTATTTATGGAATATTTTAAGTTATAGTTACATGTTACCTGGATAAATTTTTACAATGAATCTTAAGTTAATTCACTGATATATACTATTAAGTAGTATTTGAAAGTGTGCACATTCCTTAATACAAAGAAATATAAAGTCAGTGTGTTGATATTTTCATTTATCACACCTTGCTACCTTCTCAACTTCTCAAAACAGCTTGGATATGCCCTAGGTTTCTCTTGAGGTTAAGGTTTAGTATACATTCAGAACCATCCCAAAGGAACCAGTATTTGATTACAAGCATTTCAAATCACTTAGCTGGAAAACAAAGTCCCTATGTCAGAAAATGTTGAGCAATTCTTCATGAGAGCACTAAAGAGAATTCCAAGAAGTTGTTCTTCAAATACCTTTCTTTCTCCGTTAATTTTCCAAAGGATCAGTGTTGCTTTTAGTTGTTCTAAGAAATCTAAGGACAACTCTAAAGTTCAGAGACTACTTTTACTACCTATAAAAGAAACTATCATGATAGCCATGTACCCTTCAGCAATTGTCATATGATGTACTCTTACTAGTACTTTAACTGTCCTAGACCATTACTATTGAAATCTAAAGTCATATCGTATAATACAATGAACTAAACACAAACAGGCACTTGCATATATGCTTTGGATAAAGATCCATATATGCACCTCCATGAAAGAAAACTATCCTGAAGAAAGATTTTTTTTTCAAAAATAGTGAGAAATCAAGTCAGTTCAATTTCAATCTCATTTCTATTAGAAAGAAAAACTGTAAAGTTGAACAGCAGGAAAATATTCAGGAAAATTTATTTTTGCTTTTCAGTTTAAAACTGGGACAAAATTACAAGTAATGCACTGCCACCTAGTGGCAAGCTTTCACTCCATTACGTGAGGAATTGTTGGAAATAGTCTGAAAGACTTCAGTCACAGAATTCACTGTATATATCAAAGAACTGAGAAATATCAGGAAAAGGGTGGGTCAAGGGGGGTTGAAGATATTGGAGTGGTGACACAGATCAAAATGAATTATACACAGAAAATGTTTCTATTGCAAAAAGTCAACATAAAAACTAAAATTAAGTAGGGAAGGAGTGGGTTGGGAGGGGTAAGTGGGAATGTTGAACGGGGTGAAATTGATCAAGATGCACTGTATCATAAACTGCTTTCATGACAGGCAACTCCTTTGGACAACTACTTTAAGATAATAAGAAATTAGTCACAAGATAACTTTGACAAGGAAATTTTATCTTCCATTGGAAATATATAGGGAGACTTTCCAATGAAAAAGACAGGGAGAGAGAAATTAACACCCAGATCACAGGATCATTTATGCTAAATGCGACTAAATTACTAACATAACACTTTAAAAAACAAAACTAATAAAATAAAAAAAACAAAAAGAAAATTACGTATGACACGTGAGATACATGGGGGTTCTCTATACAGTTCTACTTTTATATGTGCTCCAAACCTTTATAACATAAAGGACTTTTCCAACGTTGCCAAGATTTCTGTGCTTATAAAGTATAGGAGAGATTGTTTAAGAAGATGTTTGGAGTTTGTTAGACATGTTTTTCAGAAAGAAAAGTATCTGTAAATGTCAGAACTTAGCTATTCCTATTGTTGTTGAATTATGTAAATTTTACCTACTGAAAGGTTGAAAAACAGTTAAATCACTCTGTAAAGTAACAGCAATTTAAACCTAAACGTTCTCATACAATTCAACCTAAACATTCTCAGCCACCACACATTTCCATGGTTTGACTAGAAACTAGTCATAGAAGGTGAATCTTAACATTGGTATTCTTCAAAGGAGTAAAATGCAATAACTTCAAAAGACAAAACAAGGTGTTATACATAATAGAAACACAGTTATTACCTCTAAAAAATACGACACAGTAACAAGTTTCGATGGGTAGGGAAGGCTGACATATATGTATCAAAAACAGGGAAAGCCATAAGTGGCAGCAATGTGACTGATGACCACGCATCCATTCTCAGATGCCTAGTCCAATGGAGGTCTAGATGAGTACTACTGTCTGTAAGCACAGCCCATTAACATTACAGTGAACTCACTTAATACAGTATTCCCTGTTTGTCTTGTTCCCCAATGAAGCAGTACTCAGAAGTGAAACATTTAGGAAGTGGTTGGCTTACGAGGAGCCCAATCTCATCAACTGATGGGTGTGTAACTTGATCGGCTATTGGGAAGAGGTAGAAACTAGAAAGCGGGATCTAGTTGCCTGGAACTATTTCCTCCTCGTTGTCCTCTTCTGCCCTCTGCCTTTCCTCCTCCTCTTCATTCTTCCTCTGTCTCTCTGTCCCCACCCCATTTCCTTCCCCCTCCCTCTCCCTTTCTCTTTTCTCCCTTCCCCTTTCTAGCTCCTTCTCCCTCTTCTTCCCCTATTCCTTCCTCTTCCTGGCTGCCATGATCTGAGAAGACACCCACAGCCTGGCCAGGTCTAAAGCAATAGAGCCAGGCGACCACAAACCGAAACTTCTGGAACCATGAGCTAAAAAACCCCTTTCCTCCTCTAAGTAGTTTTTCCCCGGTGTTTTGTCACAGCAATGGCGAGCTAACTCATTGCCCTAGTTTAAATCCTCTTGGCATCCACTTCTTTT